TGCCTTAATTGTCAAGAATGACTAGAAAATATGTTTTAATTGCTAATATGCACACCCTGTCATATGACGTCAAAGCATTGTTAATTATGGCTGCTGCGTCGCACTAATGCCACACATTGACCACAGGGCATCAACAATGAGATACAAGCCTGACTTAAGGTTGGGCCTTTATTTCGCGCACCTTGCTAGGCCATCGTGTGACAGTTATTATTAATAACTGATAATGTCTAGAAATGCATGGCGTGTCGCGTAGGGTATCAGTCAACGATTCTTAAGTACAAACCTAACTAAGGACGGACACGTTAATGTGTGACCCTTAATGCTATAATAGCACTTCTATTGCGTAACGTCCGCGCGCTTACTGTGTTTGACTATATGCTTTTCTTTGATGATTTTACAGTTAACTTTATATTTCCTTATGTTCATATATTATGAAAAATTTGTAGGCACATTTTGATAGCGTATGTATACACGTAAAAGTAGCTGTATTAAATTGTTATAAACAGGTATTTTTGTATATGGGCCGATGGCTTTAAGAAAAATAAGTATACTTGAATTTACAGGTAGCCGCAGAAAAATTGCCCAGTAAACAACCATACGACATTTCAATATCGTTTCAGACTCCACAACTGATTTAACAGATGCGCTGCTAATAAACATGTTCTAAGACAGAAATATTCAGAAAAGCACATGTCCATTACAGAACGACAGCACTAATCTATATGCATACGACGTTAGCGGGGGGGAAGCTCCTTGACACCGTAGATTGCCGCATAACAAGAGAACACCGGGTGGCAGAAGAGAGTTAGACTGGCGGGAGCCGGCTGGACACCTACTCCTTTATGTGCACGGACATATCCTTTCATCCCTCGGCAGGTGTTGACAGTCCTCTACTCGTTCTACACTTCTGTTCACGATTCGCGCTGTAGAGCAGAACAATAGGGACAATTACCAGGGGATCAGCCGTGTTAGGGCATGCGGGGGATCGGCCATGTCTTACGTCAGGATCACCTATGTGGATAGCAGTCTTTAGAGATATATAACAAGCACAGCCTACTATGACCCACAAGGCATGTTGAGGCTGAATGGGTTCTGTACACATGGAACATTCTCTAGCGGTAAAATGACAGAGTGCAGGATCTATTTGATCAACAATATTATGTGTTAAAAGTACTTACTTGTGTAGATTGTCACTAGATACGTGTTGCAAACTATATTCGGCTGAATTTAATTAAATAATAGTTTGTATTCATTGTTGTGATACAAAGAGAACCATCTGTATCATATAGCCGAACGAACACCTGTTGCTGATTGTGCCATACCAAAGGATTGCCCTTCCAGGATGGATAACAGTACAGCCCGGACAGACGGAGTGATGGAGTTGGAGGATTTCACACAGTACAATGTCAGTGTGGCAATATGGACCTACATTCCCCCTATACTCATTGTTATTGGAACAACAGGTAACATTCTATCCATTGCCGTGTTGTCTCAGACGTCTATGAAATTGTCAACGACGTCGCTCTACCTGCGCGTCCTGGCTGTTGTTGACATCGTCGTGTTGTACACTGGATTGTTGCGACAGTGGCTGTTGTACCTTCTGGACCTAGATGTCCGCTGGATGACCGAGTCAGGATGCAAGATTCACACTTGGATTGTGTATGTGGTTGTACACTCATCGGCGTGGCTGCTTGTGGCCGTCACATTGGAGCGTGTGTTGTCGGTAATGTTCCCGCATACAGTGAAGATGAAATGTACAAGGAAGGCAGCATACGCTATCATTGCTGGTATCCTAGTCCTGTTTCTGCTACTGAACGCCCACTATTTGTATGGTATTGGTGATTACTACACCCAAGAAGGAAACGAGACGCTACTAATTCCATGTGACGGCATTACAGATGGTTATTACTACTTCGAGACGACGATATGGCCGTGGGTGGACTTCTGCGTGTATTCGTTCCTTCCGTCAACCATCCTCATCATTTCCAACTTCTGCATCATCAGGACAGTCTTCAGCAGCGACAGGGAGGCCAGCAATGTAAGAGGCTACAGTGGAAACGCCACGGCGAGGAGGAACAAGACTTCATCCATGACGATGACCCTAGTTGTCGTTAGTGCGACGTATGTTATTTGCACAACACCCTTCTGTGTGTACACCATCTACACAAACATATTCTCAGAAGGTTTGTCTCCCGAGACACAGGCTACGAGAAGTCTTTTGTGGTCGCTCGTCAACATGCTTCAATACTGTAATAACTCCATAAATTTTATCCTGTACTCTGTGACGGGCTCCAGGTTTCGACACGAGCTGAAGGGGATGTTCTGTAAGAAGGCCTTTGTTCCCAGGCCCACAATTTACACCATGACAACCAAGAGCAGTTCCCTTCACCCAGTCCGACAGTAAGAATTAAAGTCTTTACGGATTTAACCGATTGCAGTGGGACACTGAGTGTGACATCAAAGATTGAAGTCCTACAGTAGGGATTGCAGTGCGCACTAAAGATTGAAGTCCTACAGTAGGGATTGCAGTGGGACACTGAGTGTGACATCAAAGATTGAAGTCCTACAGTAGGGATTGCAGTGCGCACTAAAGATTGAAGTCATACAGTAGGGATTGCAGTGCGCACTAAAGATTGAAGTCCTACGGTAGGGATTGCAGTGCACACTAAAGATTGAAGTCCTACGGTAGGGATTGCAGTGCACACTAAAGATTGAAGTCCTACAGTAGGGATTGCAGTGCACACTAAAGATTGAAGTCCTACAGTAGGGATTGCAGTGCGCACTAAAGATTGAAGTCCTACGGTAGGGATGTCAGTTGGAAGACTTTGGTGGCAGTCCAGTGTCTTTAACGTTGGTAACATCACACGCAGCCGTGACGCTGTGTGGACGAGTATCAAGCGTCATTATATGTACGGATTTACAACCCAGCAAGTGGCTGGTGCATGCTGTGTATTCCTGGCTTTGGCTACTGTTGGGAATCTGTGAAGATGTGATTGTTGGTCAACGATAAATGGCCTTCGTTAGGTCTGTGACCTAAGTCCGTCCCTGATGCCCCTCGAGTTAAAAACATTGCTTCAGTAACTGAACAACAATTAAGACATTGATCTTTATTGATTCAAACCATTAATATATTCATTGCAAGATATAGTAGATGTAGTACGTGTGCATCTTTACAGCGTCCTTGATGTCATTGTCACGGCACCTCATTCACTGATTAGTAAGGACCAATAAGCTCTCACCTATTCTAATTATGAAGGCAAAGGTGAACTTAATTAAATTGTTTTGGAATACGACAAGCGCATGTGTGTTCTCCTTTCTGAACAACAATAAGCTGTAATAGTATCACGGAGGCGGTCGGGTAGCCTCGTGGTTATTGCTAAAAGCGGCGTAAAACAATAATTCACTCACTCACTCACTGTAATAGTATAACGAGGGCTGTAAGTAGTTTTATCCGTCCCGCGTCAGATTTTATACCACGAGCCGGAGGAGATAATTAAAGTCACGTGACAGTACAAGTTAACCTCAACACAATCGAACAGGTGTTTTCTATCAATGCATAATTTGTTTAATTATTTTACAATGGCGGATTGAAACATGTCGGCAAGACTATCGGCTCGTGGTATAAAACCTAGCTCGGGTCGCATGAAACCTGATATACCCCGACACATGGTATGTATATGTGGATCTCCCGCAACGCGGTCCACACGCTCTCTGTGTAAGTGCTACGTGTCTTTCTATAAAGTATTGACTGAAGGTGATCGAAATGGATGAAGATAGGAAATTGTTATAATATGCTTATGTATAACGATACGTGTGGCCATCATAACTATGTTTCTTCTATTCGTTCCATACTATTTTCTCACGGATTTGGAGAAGGTTGGCTCAAGGAAGTTGTTGGCGACAAAACATTGTATCTATGAATTTAAAAAAGTTTTGATAAATATGGAACCTGAACAAATACCTTTCTCTTTTTGCTGAAATAAAATACCGAAATGTTATGATAACCTTAAGGTAAATGAAGGTAGATGGGCTAAGTGGATGTACGTTTACGACTTCGCCCTGTATGTGCAACATGTTCAGAGAATGAATATAATTTTACTTTTGAGTGTGAACATTAAAATGATATTAGACAACTTAGACAAATATGTATGAATTTACAATGCTCCTGTCATCCCCATGTAAATATTTACTTGGAAAACTATGTAAACACACAGATTGCAGCTATGAAAGAAGACGGAATTATGTAAGGCCAGTCACTATGTAAAATGGTACCTGACATTTACCCCACTATTTCCAATGTATGTATTGTATGTGCACCAGTGGCCTTTGTACAAATAAAACACTTCGTCTTCTTCTTAATAGAGGTACATTGATTTTGTTCTTGTTTCATATTCTTGTACAACGCATAGGCTATTAAATGTTTCTCATAATCAAAAATAAATTTATGTTGTGTTTGTAATACAACATCTATAGGGTATCGGTTTGGGGACAATAATGGGCTTTAGTGCAAACGGTAGAATAATGACATCAAATTCCAATTACTACAAACTGTTTCATAAATATCTAGCGCAACGGTTAATCAGTATGGTTGATCACATAATATAGTAGGCTACTTACTGTCAGTGATACCATCACGTCAGGGTTTCCATTACGGTGCCCACAATCTACCTTTGGATCAACATGATGCATTTGTAATTTGTACAACGTGCGAGGCATATAAAACGTAAATGGGTTTCAGCGCGAGTAGCGCCATTAATTGCTGGAGTCGGTATTTAGTGTTCACGCTGCGATGATATCGTCGACAGTTGATTGCCTGTTTCGTTTCAGTGTAGCACTGACCTGGAACAATTCTGTTTGTTCGGTGTTATTCAGTCGGTAATCTGAGTGTTTTGCCTTCAGGGCATGCGGGCATGTTGGGACAGGACTAATGACATTGTTTGTCACAGCTATGTGCAATTATTTACTTCCCTCGTAATCACGAACGAGGTGAAAAACATAAGCCTAACAATTCCACTGACCGAACTCCCAGATCTGCCAGGGCGGTGGGATAACCTCTTCACTGTTTTGCTCTAATTGTTAGAGTGAGTGAGTGAGTTAATATTTAACGTCACATCGGCAGTATTGCAGCTATATCGTGACGATCTAATTGTTAGACAGACGAAGGAAATTATTATAGATTTTAGAATAAAGACAACCGAGATTCTGTCTGTTTTATATTGATAATGAAAACATGGATTTGGTTGAAGAGTGAATTATCTTGGCACCATTATTGGAACTGACATGGAATTTCATAACGGAGCATTTGTGCGAAAAGGGTCAAAAGCGATTGCTTTTTTTAAGGCGTCTTGGGTATGGTAAACTTGATGACACATTATCTCTGTTTTATGGAACATTTTTTCAAAGCATTTTAGTTCTGAATGTCAGCTGCCTGTCTGTTGAAAACATAATCTAAAATACATAAAATTGTAAATACAGCAAGAAAACTTTCAGGTACCAAATCTCAAACACATCGGCGATATTTATGAGCAGCAAATTGTCTAAATTGCACGTACAATACTAAATGACAATAGGCATTGACTTCATTCAAGACACCAGTTTCTACCTTCTGACTGCCGACTGAGCTTGCTGATGCTGCAAACAAACAGGGCTCGGAAATAATTCCTATCCGCCAGTATTAGTCTTGTAAATTGTTATCTGTTAAATATCTTTAACAGTTCGCTGTGTACAAATTATTCCGTATATTAAAGTATACTATCGCTGTGATATTTTCTCTTGTCATATTTTAGTGATAATCAAGTGTGCAATATGTATTTCCCTTGGGATAATAAAGTTTTATATTGTCTTATCCTATCCTACGATGGCACCCTACACGGTTGAAGGTATGACGGAGACACGCTACACGGCAGAAGGAGGGACGATGACACCTTCCACGCAGAAAGAAGGAAGCTGACAGGCTACGCGACAGAAGGACGGAAGCACCCTGCACGGCAGAACGAAGGACGATAGCACCCTACACGACAGAAGAAATGATGGTGACACCCTGCACGGCAGAACGAAGGACGATAGCACCCTACACGGCAGAAGGAAGGACGGTGACACGCTACACGGTAGAAGGAAGGACGGTGACACTCTATACGGTAGAAGGGAGGACGGTGACACGCTACACGGTAGAAGGAAGGACGGTGACACGCTGCACGGTAGAAGGAAGGACGGTGACACCCTACACGGCAGGAGGAAGGATGGTGAAACCCTGCATGGCAGAAGGAAGGACGGTGACACGCTACACGGCAGGAGGAAGGACGGTGACACCCTACATGGCAGGAGGAAGGACGGTGATACCCTGCATGGCAGAAGGGAGGACGGTGACACGCTGCACGGTAGAAGGAAGGACGGTGACACCCTACACGGCAGGAGGAAGGACATTGATACCCTACACGGTAGAAGGAAGGACGGTGACACGCTGCACGGTAGAAGGAAGGACGGTGATACCCCACGCGACAGAAGGAAGGAAGTAATACCCGACACGGGAGAAGTAAGGACGGTATCACCCTACACGGAGGAAGAAAGGACGGTGATGCCCCACGCGACAGAAGGAAGGACGGTGACATGCTACACGGCAGAAGGAAGGACGGTGACACCCTACACGGCAGAAGGAAAGACAGTGATGCCCTACACTGTAGAGGGAAGAACGGTAGCGCCCTACACGGCAGAAGGAAGGACGGTATCACCCTACACGGCAGAAAGAAGGACGGTGATACCCTAAATGAAAGAAGGAAGGACGATAGCACTTAACACAACATACGAAAGGATGGTGACACCCTGCATGGCAGAAGGAAGGACGGTGGCACTCTACACAGTAGAAGGAAGGTCGGTGACACGCTACACGATAGAAGGAAGGACGGTGATACCCTGCACGGCAGAAGGAAGGACGGTGACACGCTACACTGGAGATGATGGAACGGAGACAACCTACACTGGGGAAGATGGGACGGTGACAATCTGCACTGGAGATGATGAGCCCACCATAGCCTACACTGGAGATGATGGGACGGTGACAACCTACACTGGAGATGATGGGACGGTGACAACCTACATTGGAGATGATTGGACGGTGACAACCTACACAGGAGATGATGGGCCCGTCATAGCCTACACGCGAGATGATGAGACGGTGACACCGAATACAGGAGATGATGGGACGGTGACAACCTACACTGGAGATGATTGGACGGTGACAACCTACACAGGAGATGATGGGCCCGTCATAGCCTATACGGGAGATGATGAGTCGGTGACAACCAACACTGGAGATGATGGGACGGTGACAGCCTACACTGGAGATGAAGGGACGGTGACAGCCTACACTGGAGATGATGGGACGGTGACAACCTACATTGGAGATGATACGCCCGTAAAAGCCTACACGCGAGATGATGAGACGGTGACACCGAATACAGGAGATGATGGCACGGTGACAACCTACACTGGAGATGATGCGACGGTGATAACCTACACTGGAGATGAAGGGAAGGTGACAACCTACATTGGAGATGATGCGCCCGTCAAAGCCTACACGCGAGATGATGAGACGGTGACACCGAATACAGGAGATGATGGCACGGTGACAACCTACACTGGAGATGATGCGACGGTGATAACCTACACTGGAGATGAAGGGAAGGTGACAACCTACATTGGAGATGATGCGCCCGTCAAAGCCTACACGCGAGATGATGAGACGGTGACACCGAATACAGGAGATGATGGGACGGTGACAACCTACACTGGAGATGATTGGACGGTGACAACATACACAGGAGATGATGGGCCCGTCATAGCCTATACGGGAGATGATGAGTCGGTGACACCCAACACAGGAGATGATGGGACGGTGACAACCAACACTGGAGATGATGGGACGGTGACAACCTACACTGGAGATGATGGGACGGTGACAACCTACACTGGAGATGATGCGCCCGTCAAAGCCTACACGCGAGATGATGAGACGGTGACACCGAATACAGGAGATGATGGCACGGTGACAACCTACACTGGAGATGATGCGACGGTGATAACCTACACTGGAGATGAAGGGAAGGTGACAACCTACATTGGAGATGATGCGCCCGTCAAAGCCTACACGCGAGATGATGAGACGGTGACACCGAATACAGGAGATGATGGCACGGTGACAACCTACACAGGAGATGATGGGACGGTGACAACCTACACTGGAGATGACGGGACGGTGACAATCTACACAGGAGATGATGGAATGGGGACAGCCTGTACAGGAGATGATGGGACGGTGACAACCTACACTGGACAAGATGGGGCGGTGACAACCTACACTGGAGATGATGGGCCCGTCATAGCCTACACAGGAGATGATGGGACGGTGACAGCCTGCACTGGAGATGACGGGACGGTGACAACCTACACTGGAGATGATGGACCCGTCATAGCCTACACAGGAGATGATGGGACGGTGACAGCCTGCACTGGAGATGATGGGACGGTGACAACCTACACTGGAGATGATGGACCCGTCATAGCCTACACAGGAGATGATGCGACGGTGATAACCTTCACTGGAGATGAAGGGACGGTGACAATCTACACAGGAGATGATGGACCCGTCATAGCCTACACAGGAGATGATGCGACGGTGATAACCTACACTGGAGATGAAGGGAAGGTGACAACCTACACTGGAGATGATGGACCCGTCATAGCCTACACAGGAGATGATGCGACGGTGATAACCTACACTGGAGATGAAGGGAAGGTGACAACCTACACTGGAGATGATGGGCCCGTCATAGCCTACATTGGAGATGATTGGACGGACAAAACCTACAGAGATGATGGGACGGTGACAACCTACACTGGAGATGATGGGCCCGTCATAGCCTACACTGGAGATGATGGGACGGACAAAACCTACAGAGATGATGGGACGGTGACAAGCTACACTGGAGATGATGGGACGGTGACAACCTTCACTGGAGATGATGGGACGTTGACAACCTACGCTGGAGATGATGGGACGGTGACAACCTACACTTGAGATGATGAGACAGTGACACCCTACACTGGAGATGATGGGCCCCTCATAGCCTACACGGGAGATGATTGGCCCGTCATAGCCTACACGGGAGATGATTGGCCCGTCATAGCCTACACGGGAGATGATTGGCCCGTCATAGCCTACACAGGAGATGAGGGGACGTTGACAGCCTAGACGGGAGATGATGGGGCGGTGAGAACCTACGCTGGAGATGATGGGACGGTGACATCCTACACAGGAGATGATGGGCCCATCATAGCCTATACTGGAGATGATGGGGCGGTGACAACCAACACTGGAGATGACCGGACGGTGACAACCTACACAGGAGATGACAGGACGGAGATAACCTACACAGGAGATGATGGGACGGTGACAACCTACGCTGGAGATGATGGGACGGTGACATCCTACACGGGAGATGACCGGACGGTGACAACCTACACAGGAGATGACAGGACGGAGATAACCTACACAGGAGATGATGGGACGGTGACACCCTACACTGGAGATGACCGGACGGTGACAACCTACACAGGAGAGGACAGGACGGTGACAACCTACACAGGAGAGGACAGGACGGAGATAACCTACACAGGAGATGATGGGACGGTGACACCCTACACTGGAGATGATGGGACGGTGACAACCTACATTGGAGATGATGGGACGGTGACAACCTACATTGGAGATGAAGGGACGGTGACAACCTACACAGGAGAGGACAGGACGGAGATAACCTACACGGGAGATGACCGGACGGTGACAACCTACACAGGAGATGACAGGACGGAGATAACCTACACAGGAGATGATGGGACGGTGACACCCTACACAGGTGATGATGGGACGGTGACACCCTACACTGGAGATGATGGGACGGAGATAACCTACACGGGAGATGACCGGACGGTGACAACCTACACAGGAGATGACAGGACGGAGATAACCTACACAGGAGATGATGGGACGGTGACACCCTACACAGGTGATGATGGGACGGTGACACCCTACACTGGAGATGAAGGGACGGTGACACCCTACACTGGAGATGATGGGACGGTGACATCCTACACGGGAGATGACCGGACGGTGACAACCTACACAGGAGATGATGGGACGGTGACACCCTACACTGGAGATGATGGGACGGTGACATCCTACACGCGAGATGATGGGACGGTGACAACCTACACAGGAGATGATGGGACGGTGACACCCTACACTGGAGATGACCGGACGGTGACAACCTACACAGGAGATGACGTGACGGTGACACCCTACAGTGGAGATGACCGGACGGTGACAACCTACACAGGAGATGATGGGACGGTGACACCCTACACTGGAGATGACCGGACGGTGACAACCTACACAGGAGATGACGTGACGGTGACACCCTACACTGGAGATGATGGGACGGTGACAACCTACACAGGAGATGACAGGACGGAGATAACCTACACAGGAGATGACAGGACGGAGATAACCTACACAGGAGATGATGGGACGGTGACAACCTACACTGGAGATGATGGGCCCATCATAGCCTATACTGGAGATGATGGGGCGGTGACAACCTACGCTGGAGATGATGGGACGGTGACATCCTACACGGGAGATGATGGGCCCATCATAGCCTATACTGGAGATGATGGGGCGGTGACAACCTACACTGGAGATAATAGGCCCATCATAGCCTACACAGGTGATGATGGGACGGTGACACCCTACACTGGAGATGATGGGACGGTGACATCCTACACGGGAGATAATAGGCCCATCATAGCCTATACTGGAGATGATGGGGCGGTGACACCCTACACTGGAGATGATGGGACGGTGACATCCTACACGGGAGATAATAGGCCCATCATAGCCTATACTGGAGATGATGGGGCGGTGACAACCAACACTGGAGATAATAGGCCCATCATAGCCTACACAGGTGATGATGGGACGGTGACACCCTACACTGGAGATGATGGGACGGTGACATCCTACACGGGAGATAATAGGCCCATCATAGCCTATACTGGAGATGATGGGGCGGTGACAACCTACACTGGAGATAATAGGCCCATCATAGCCTACACAGGTGATGATGGGACGGTGACACCCTACACTGGAGATGATGGGACGGTGACATCCTACACGGGAGATAATAGGCCCATCATAGCCTATACTGGAGATGATGGGGCGGTGACACCCTACACTGGAGATGATGGGACGGTGACATCCTACACGGGAGATAATAGGCCCATCATAGCCTATACTGGAGATGATGGGGCGGTGACACCCTACACTGGAGATGATGGGACGGTGACATCCTACACGGGAGATAATAGGCCCATCATAGCCTATACTGGAGATGATGGGGCGGTGACAACCAACACTGGAGATAATAGGCCCATCATAGCCTACACAGGTGATGAAGGGACGGTGACACCCTACACTGGAGATGACCGGACGGTGACAACCTACACAGGAGATGACGTGACGGTGACAACCTACACTGGAGATGATGGGCCCGTCATAGCCTATACAGAAGATGATGAGTCGGTGTCACCCAACACAGGAGATGATGGGACCGTGAGAACCTACGCTGGAGATGATGGGACGGTGACAACCTACAGTGGAGATAATAGGCCCATCATAGCCTATACAGAAGATGATGAGTCGGTGTCACCCAACACAGGAGATGATGGGACTGTGAGAACCTACGCTGGAGATGACTGGACGGTGACAACCTACACTGGAGATGACGTGACGGTGACAATCTACACTGGAGATGATGGGCCCGTCATAGCCTATACGGGAGATGATGAGTCGGTGACACCCAACACAGGAGATGATGGGACGGTGACAAACAACACTGGAGATGATTGGACGGTGACAGCCTACACTGGAGATGATGGGACGGTGACAGCCTACACGTGAGATGATGGGACGGTGACAGCCTACACTGGAGATGATGGGACGGTGACATCCTACACTGGAGATGATGGGCCCATCATAGCCTATACTGGAGATGATGGGGCGGTGACAACCTACGCTGGAGATGATGGGACGGTGACATCCTACACGGGAGATGATGGGCCCATCATAGCCTATACTGGAGATGATGGGGCGGTGACAACCTACACTGGAGATAATAGGCCCATCATAGCCTACACAGGTGATGATGGGACGGTGACACCCTACACTGGAGATGATGGGACGGTGACATCCTACACGGGAGATAATAGGCCCATCATAGCCTATACTGGAGATGATGGGGCGGTGACACCCTACACTGGAGATGATGGGACGGTGACATCCTACACGGGAGATAATAGGCCCATCATAGCCTATACTGGAGATGATGGGGCGGTGACAACCAACACTGGAGATAATAGGCCCATCATAGCCTACACAGGTGATGATGGGACGGTGACACCCTACACTGGAGATGATGGGACGGTGACATCCTACACGGGAGATAATAGGCCCATCATAGCCTATACTGGAGATGATGGGGCGGTGACAACCTACACTGGAGATAATAGGCCCATCATAGCCTACACAGGTGATGATGGGACGGTGACACCCTACACTGGAGATGATGGGACGGTGACATCCTACACGGGAGATAATAGGCCCATCATAGCCTATACTGGAGATGATGGGGCGGTGACACCCTACACTGGAGATGATGGGACGGTGACATCCTACACGGGAGATAATAGGCCCATCATAGCCTATACTGGAGATGATGGGGCGGTGACACCCTACACTGGAGATGATGGGACGGTGACATCCTACACGGGAGATAATAGGCCCATCATAGCCTATACTGGAGATGATGGGGCGGTGACAACCAACACTGGAGATAATAGGCCCATCATAGCCTACACAGGTGATGAAGGGACGGTGACACCCTACACTGGAGATGACCGGACGGTGACAACCTACACAGGAGATGACGTGACGGTGACAACCTACACTGGAGATGATGGGCCCGTCATAGCCTATACAGAAGATGATGAGTCGGTGTCACCCAACACAGGAGATGGTGGGACCGTGAGAACCTACGCTGGAGATGATGGGACGGTGACAACCTACAGTGGAGATAATAGGCCCATCATAGCCTATACAGAAGATGATGAGTCGGTGTCACCCAACACAGGAGATGATGGGACTGTGAGAACCTACGCTGGAGATGACTGGACGGTGACAACCTACACTGGAGATGACGTGACGGTGACAATCTACACTGGAGATGATGGGCCCGTCATAGCCTATACGGGAGATGATGAGTCGGTGACACCCAACACAGGAGATGATGGGACGGTGACAAACAACACTGGAGATGATTGGACGGTGACAGCCTACACTGGAGATGATGGGACGGTGACAGCCTACACGTGAGATGATGGGACGGTGACAACCTACATTGGAGATGATGCGCCCGTCATAGCCTACACAGGAGATGATTGGACGGTGACATCCAACACAGGATATGATGGGACGATGACAACCTACAGAGGAGACGATGGGACGGTGACAACCTACACTGGAGATGATGGGACGGTGACAGCCTACACAGGAGATGATGGGACGGTGACAACCTACATTGGAGATGATGCGCCCGTCATAGCCTACACGCGAGATGATGAGACGGTGACACCGAATACAGGAGATGATGGGACGGTGACAACCTACACTGGAGATGACGGGACTGTGACAACCTACACTGGAGATGACGGGACGGTGAGAACCTGCACAGGAGATGATAGGACGGTGACAACCTACACAGGAGATGACGGGACGGTGAGAACCTACACTGGAGATGATGGGCCCGTCATAGCCTACACAGGAGATGATTGGACATGACAGCCTACAGAAGAGATGATGGGACGTTGACAACCTACACTGGAGATGATGGGACGGAGACAACGTACAGAGGAGATGATGGGACGGTGAGAACCTACACTGGAGATGATGAGACGGTGACAACCTACACAGGATATAATGGGCCAGTCATAGCCTGTACGGGAGATGATGGGACGGTGACATCCTACACTGGAGATGAGGGGACGTTGACAGCCTACACGGGAGATGATGGGACGGTTACAACCTACACAGGAGGTGATGAGACGGTGTCAACCTACCCAGTAGGTGATGGGCACATCTCAACCTACTCAGGAGGTGATGCTACGGTGACAGCCCACCCAGGAGATGATGAGACGATGACAACATACGAAGGGGATGATGGGACGGTGACAAACCTCACATTAGGTGTTGTAACGGTGACTACCTACACTGTAGACGATGTGGCGGTGACAGCCCACCTATCAGGTGATGAGACGATGACACCTACGCAGCAGGTGAAGGGACGTTGACAGCCTACACAGGAGGTGGTGAGACGGTGACAGTCTATACAGGAGATGATGGGACGGTGACAGCCTACACAGAAGGTGGTGTGACAGCCTACACAGTCAGCCTGAGCGCCTTTTCATGTGTAGAAAGTAGTAATGCATATTTATGAGTACCGGTAACTCGATTAGCAATTGCCTAAACCGGTTAGCAAAGAAACAATATTTAAGAATTTACTTCAATGTTTGTATGCGTTTTAGGAGGTATAAACGTAAAGGGGGCAAACTGTAAAATGTGCACAACGGTGTTTTCATTAATAACTCCATAAACACATGAAGTGAGTTCTTATTAATAAGTACGCAAAATATAATAACTTTACAGACTGCTTATTTAACTATTAAACACTCGAAACTTTAGACAACAGTACGAAATATAATGCATCACAACCCCGCCCATTCTATCAGTAAGCAGTAGTTTCTTAGTTGGCGTGACTTAAACATTGGTCAGCCAATAAAATGCGACGGAATCGCTTGCAATTTATTAATTAGTGTACTCTGAATGCGAGATGGTTGTGAATGGGCACTGGTAAAGTTAGAGGCGCGTCCTACACACACCACTGCCCCCAGGCCTGTCATATTCTCTCATTTCTACAAACATCACGCAACAACAGTTAGCCAAGAAACCATACTAATTATGATATAAAAGGAAATCCCACCTGAACACACATAAAATAACCTTTTAGAGAGGTATTTAGTAAACCAATTCTTGAAAAAAACTTGGGAGCGTTTTGTTTTGCTGACCCTGGAAACCAATATGAACAATGATGTCTCCAGGCTGGGTGTTATGCATGATGTGTAGTGAATTTGACACATCCCTTTACATGTAGGATAAAGCACTTCCGGGATGAAACCTTAGGAAGTCAACCCCGAGGTTTTATCCCAAGGATAAGGGTTTTTAATATCATAAAACCCCGAGGCGAAGTGTTTTTTTCGAACTTATAAACCGAAAAGAAGAAGCTTAAAACAACATTTAGCAAAATTTTTATGTTTCAAACATTCTTTCCATGAACCTTGGGAAACGGGCGTAAAATATCTGTTGCTGGCGTCAGGTACTTGAAAAAGCATTGTGATTTATCAGCGCCTCTGTAGCCTGGTGGTACAGATAGGAAGGTCGCGTGTTCGATCCTCGGGAATATAAAGAAAACATTTGCCATTCGATTTTTCATTTTATTACATTTTGTTAAAATGCTAAATAAATTCCTAATGAGAATATAATATAATATGTTACAATCTAAACGGAAGTTGTATTAATAAAATCCAAGGTATATTTAAACATCCTTGTTTATAATTTAACCCGACTAAAGATCAATTGCATGACGTCACTGGAGGTCCAAGGATTGCTGTTATACTCCATCCTCTGAAATTAGCGAAAGTGTAAGTGAATATCGCATTTCAGCTTGATGACATTGCCTGCTAGACTGTGACCCTACTGTGCCATCCCGACATACCGTCTAAATATGTATTCTTTTGTATATTTCGTTTGGAAAGGTTAAAGCTGATGTTGTCCCAAGAACAGAATAGGATATCAAGTTTCGATCTCTGACGTTACTTATGAATATTTTACATACAAAATGCTTTTCTCAGTTGAGGCTTTTCTAATAATAACTTTGAATATGGCGACAGCGCAAGTAAGTCAGCATGCTGCAGGTGTCCTTCTGGCGTCGCTATGTAAGTAAACGGCCAGTTTGTTGTATCTATTTAGCCCGTCACTGTGTTGGTAAAGATACGTGTGCTCTATAATGCTTGAAACCCTAGGCCATAGTGTGAGTTTAGCCCCTTTGCAATTGCAGTCTGTACGTGTATAGCCGCTATGTTGTCCTTCATAATGCATGTCACTGTGTCAGTATAGCAATGTGGTCTCCTTCACAGTGCATGCCATGTCAGCACAGCTACTGTGTGTGTCCTTCATAATGCATGTTACTGTCTTAGTATAGCTACTGTGTTGTCCTTCACAGTGCATGCCACTATGTCAGCACAGCTACTGCGTTGTCCTTCACAATGCATGTCAACGTATCAGTATGTTTACTGCGTTGTCCTACAGAGTGCATATCAATGTATCAGCACAACTACTGCGTTCTCCTGCATTGCTGTATCAGAAAAGTCACTGTGTTGTCCTTCATAATGCATGTCACTGTGTTGACCTTCATACTGCATGTCACTCTCTGTCCTTCATTGTGCATATCAATGTTTGAGTATAGCCACTGTGTTGTACTTCAAAGAGCATGTCAATCCATCAGCAAACGAGTGCATGTCATTGTGTTGTCCTTCATAGTATATGTCATTGTGTTTGTATGGCCACTGTGTTGTCCTTCAAAAGTGCATGTCAATGTGTTGTCCTTCACAGTGCATGCCACTATGTCAGCACAGCTACTGCGTTGTCCTTCACAATGCATGTCAACGTATCAGTATGTTTACTGCGTTGTCCTACAGAGTGCATATCAATGTATCAGCACAACTACTGCGTTCTCCTTCATTGCTGTATCAGAAAAGTCACTGTGTTGTCCTTCATAATGCATGTCACTGCGTTGACCTTCATACTGCATGTCACTCTCTGTCCTTCATTGTGCATATCAATGTTTGAGTATAGCCACTGTGTTGTACTTCAAAGAGCATGTCAATCCATCAGCAAACGAGTGCATGTCATTGTGTTGTCCTTCATAGTATATGTCATTGTGTTTGTATGGCCACTGTGTTGTCCTTCAAAAGTGCATGTCAATGTGTTGTCCTTCACAGTGCATGCCACTATGTCAGCACAGCTACTGCGTTGTCCTTCACAATGCATGTCAACGTATCAGTATGTTTACTGCGTTGTCCTACAGAGTGCATATCAATGTATCAGCACAACTACTGCGTTCTCCTTCATTGCTGTATCAGAAAAGTCACTGTGTTGTCCTTCATAATGCATGTCACTGTGTTGACCTTCATACTGCATGTCACTCTCTGTCCTTCATTGTGCATATCAATGTTTGAGTATAGCCACTGTGTTGTACTTCAAAGAGCATGTCAATCCATCAGCAAACGAGTGCATGTCATTGTGTTGTCCTTCATAGTATATGTCATTGTGTTTGTATGGCCACTGTGTTGTCCTTCAAAAGTGCATGTCAATGTGTTGTCCTTCATAGTGCATGTCACTGTGTCAGTATAGTACACGTCACTCTGATGTCATTTATAGTGCATGTCTCTGCATTGTCCTTCATAGTGCATGTCGTTGTGTTGTCCCTCATAGTGCACGTCATTGTGTTTTCTTTCATAGTAAATGTCGTTGTGTTGTCCTTCATTATGGATGTAACTGTGTCAGTATGGGCACTGTGTTGTCCTTCATAGTGCATGTCACTTTATTGCCCTTCATAGGGCATGCCACTGTGTTCTTCATAAGACATATGACTGTATCAGTGTGTTGTCTTTTTTAGGGCATGTCACTGTGGTTTCTTTCATAGTAAATGTCATTGTGTCAAAGTGGCCACTGTGTTGTCCTTTATAGTGCATGTCAGTGTGATGTACTTCGTAGTGCATGTCGCTGTGTCAGAATCGCCCCTGTGTTGTCCTTCATAGTGCATGTCAGTGTGTTGTCTTTCATAGTGCACGTCAGTGTGTTGTCCTTCATAGTGCACGTCAGTGTCTTGTCCTTCATAGTTTACGTCAGTTTGTTGTCCTTCATAGTGCATGTCACTGTGTCAGTATGGCCACTGTGTTGTCCTTCATAGTGCACGTCAGTGTGATGCATTTCGTAGCGCACGTCACTTTGTCAGTATGGCCACTGTGTTGTCCTTCATAGTGCATATCAGTGTGTTGTCTTGCATAGTGCATGTCAGTGTGTTGTCCTTCATAGTGCATGTCAGTGTGTTGTCCTTCTTAGTGCACGTCAGTGTGTTGTCCTTCATAGTGCATGTGAGTGTGTCAGTATGGCCACTGTGTTGTCCTTCATAGTGCACGTCAGTGTGATGCACTTCGTAGCGCACGTCACTTTGTCAGTATGGCCACTGTGTTGTCCTTCATAGTGCATGTCAGTGTGTTGTCCTTCATAGTGCATGTCAGTGTGTTGTCCTTCATAGTGCACGTCAGTGTGTTGTCCTTCATAGTGCACGTCAGTGTGTTGTCCTTCATAGTGCATGTCAGTGTGTTGTCCTTCATAGTGCATGTCAGTGTGTTGTCCTTCATAGTGCATGTCAGTGTGTTGTCCTTCATAGTGCATGTCAGTGTGTTGTCCTTCATAGTGCATGTCAGTGTGTTGTCCTTCATAGTGCATGTCAGTGTGTTGTCCTTCATAGTGCATGTCGCTTTGTCAGTATGGCCACTGTGTTGTCCTTCATAGTGCACGTCAGTGTGTTGTCCTTCATAGCGCACGTCACTTTGTCAGTGTGGCCACTGTGTTGCCCTTCATAGTGCATGTCAGTGTGTTGTCCTTCATAGTGCATGTCAGTGTGTTGTCCTTCATAGTGCATGTCAGTGTGTTGTCCTTCATAGTGCACGTTAGTGTGTTGTCCTTCATAGTACATGTCAGTGTGTTGTCCTTCATAGTGCACGTCAGTGTGTTGTCCTTCATAGTGCATGTCAGTGTGTTGTCCTTCATAGTGCATGTCAGTGTGTTGTCCTTCATAGTGCATGTCAGTGTGTTGTCCTTCATAGTGCATGTCAGTGTGTTGTCCTTCATAGTGCACGTCAGTGTGTTGTCCTTCATAGTGCATGTCAGTGTGTTGTCCTTCATAGTGCATGTCGCTTTGTCAGTATGGCCACTGTGTTGTCCTTCATAGTGCATGTCAGTGTGTTGTCCTTCATAGTGCATGTCGCTTTGTCAGTATGGCCACTGTGTTGTCCTTCATAGTGCATGTCAGTGTGTTGTCCTTCATAGTGCATGTCAGTGTGTTGTCCTTCATAGTGCATGTCAGTGTGTTGTCCTTCATAGTGCACGTTAGTGTGTTGTCCTTCATAGTACATGTCAGTGTGTTGTCCTTCATAGTGCATGTCAGTGTGTTGTCCTTCATAGTGCACGTCAGTGTGTTGTCCTTCATAGCGCACGTCACTTTGTCAGTATGGCCACTGTGTTGTCCTTCATAGTGCATGTCAGTGTGTTGTCCTTCATAGTGCATGTCGCTTTGTCAGTATGGCCACTGTGTTGTCCTTCATAGTGCATGTCAGTGTGTTGTCCTTCATAGTGCATGTCGCTTTGTCAGTATGGCCACTGTGTTCTCCTGCATAGTGCACGTCAGTGTGTTGTCCTTCATAGTGCACGTCAGTGTGTTGTCCTTCATAGTGCATGTCGCTTTGTCAGTATGGCCACTGTGTTCTCCTGCATAGTGCACGTCAGTGTGTTGTCCTTCATAGTGCACGTCAGTGTGTTGTCCTTCATAGTGCATGTCGCTTTGTCAGTATGGCCACTGTGATGTGCTTCATAGTGCACGTCAGTGTGTTGTCCTTCATAGTGCACGTCAGTGTGTTGTCCTTCATAGTGCTTGTCGCTGTGTCAGTATGGCCACTGTGTTGTCCTTCATAGTGCATGTCAGTGTGGTGTCCTTCAAAGTGCATGTCACTGTGTCAGTATGGCCACTGTGTTGTCCCTCATAGTGCATCTCACCGTGTTGTCCTTCATAGTGCATGTCACTATCGTCCTTCATAGTGCATGCCAATGTGTTTTCCTTCATAGCCCATGTCACTGTATCAGTATGGCCACTGTGTTGTCTCTCATAGTGCATCTCACCGTGTTGTCCTTCATAGTGCATGTCACTATCGTCCTTCATAGTGCATGCCAATGTGTTTTCCTTCATAGCCCATGTCACTGTATCAGTATGGCCACTGTGTTGTCCCTCATAGTGCATCTCACCGTGTTGTCCTTCCTAGTGCATGTCACTATCGTCCTTCATAGTGCATGCCAATGTGTTTTCCTTCATAGCCCATGTCACTGTATCAGTATGGCCACTGTGTTGTCCCTCATAGTGCATCTCACCGTGTTGTCCTTCCTAGTGCACGTCACTTTATTGTCCTTCAGAGGGCATGTCACTTTATCAGTATGGCCACTGTGGTGTCCTTCATTGTGCACGTCACTATGTTGTCCTTCAGAGTGCATGTATCTGTGTTATCCTTCATAGTGCATGTAACTCTTCTATCCTTCATAGTGCATGTCAATATATTGTCCTTTATAGTGCATGGTACTGTGTCAGTATGGCCATTGTGTTGTCTTCCATAGTGCATGTCACTACTTTATCCTTCATAGTGGGTATTCACAGTGTTGTCCTTCATGGTGCATGTTTCTGTACAGTCCTTCAACGTGCATATCAGTGCTTTGTACTTCATAGCGCATGTCAATGTTTGTCCTTCATATCGCACGTCACTGTATTGCTCTTCACAATGCAAGTCACTGTATCAGTTTAGCTACTGTGTTCTCCTTCATAGTGCATGGCACTGCGTGTGTTTTGCCACTGTGTTGTCCTTTATAGTGCATGTCACTGTGTTGTCCTTTATAGTGCATGTAACTGTGTCAATATAGCCACTGTGTTGTCCTTCATATTGCTTATCACTGTCTGAGTTGAGCCACTGTGTTGTCCTTCATAGTGCAAGTCACTGTGTTGTCCTTCATAGTGCAAGTCACTGTGTTGTCCTTCAAAGCCCACGTTACTGTAATGTCCTTCATAGTGCATGTCACTGTGTTGTTCTTCATACTGTATGTCATTGTTTAAGCAGAGCCTCTGTGGTGTCTTTCATAGTGTATGTCCTTCTGTCACTATAGCAATTGTGTTGTCCTTCATAGTGCATGTCACCGTGTTGTCCTTCATAGTGCATGTCACTGTGTTATCTTCATTTTGTATATGTCACTGTGTCAGTATGGCCACTGTGTATTCCTTGACAGTACATGTCAATGTGTTGTCCTTCCTAGTGCATATACATCTATCAGCGCAGCCACTGTGTTGTCCTTCATATTGCATGTCATTGTATTAGCACAACCACAGTGTTGTCCTTCACAGTGTATGTCCTTGTGTTGCCCTTTGTAGTGCATGTCCCTGTGCTGTCCTTCGTGGTGCATGTCAATGTATCAGCACAGCCACTGAGTTGTCATTCGTTGTGCATGTTACTGTGTTGTCCTCCATAATACATGTCCCTGTGTTGTTTTTCATAGTGCATGTCAATGTACCAGCACAGCCACTGTGTTGTCCTTCATAGTGCATGTCAATGTATCAGACAGCCACTGTGTTGTCCTTCATAGTGCATGTCAATGTATCAGACAGCCACTGTGTTGTCCTTCATAGTGCATGTCAATGTACCAGCACAGCCACTGTGTTGTCCTTCATAGTGCATGTCAATGTATCAGACAGCCACTGTGTTGTCCTTCATAGTGCATGTCAATGTATCAGCACAGCCACTGTGTTGTCCTTCATAGTGCATGTCAATGTACCAGCACAGCCACTGTGTTGTCCTTCATAGTGCATGTCAATGTATCAGCACAGCCACTGTGTTGTCCTTCATAGTGCATGTCAATGTACCAGCACAGCCACTGTGTTGTCCTTCATAGTGCATGTCAATGTATCAGACAGCCACTGTGTTGTCCTTCATAGTGCATGTCAATGTATCAGACAGCCACTGTGTTGTCCTTCATAGTGCATGTCAATGTATCAGACAGCCACTGTGTTGTCCTTCATAGTGCATGTCAATGTATCAGACAGCCACTGTGTTGTCCTTCATAGTGCATGTCAATGTATCAGACAGCCACTGTGTTGTCCTTCATAGTGCATGTCAATGTATCAGACAGCCACTTTGTTGTCCTTCATAGTGCATGTCAATGTATCAGACAGCCACTGTGTTGTCCTTCATAGTGCATGTCAATGTATCAGACAGCCACTGTGTTGTCCTTCATAGTGCATGTCAATGTATCAGACAGCCACTGTGTTGTCCTTCATAGTGCATGTCAATGTATCAGCACAGCCACTGTGTTGTCCTTCATAGTGCATGTCAATGTATCAGCACAGCCACTGTGTTGTCCTTCATAGTGCATGTCAATGTATCAGACAGCCACTGTGTTGTCCTTCATAGTGCATGTCAATGTACCAGCACAGCCACTGTGTTGTCCTTCATAGTGCATGTCAATGTATCAGACAGCCACTGTGTTGTCCTTCATAGTGCATGTCAATGTATCAGAAAGCCACTGTGTTGTCCTTCATAGTGCATGTCAATGTATCAGACAGCCACTGTGTTGTCCTTCATAGTGCATGTCAATGTATCAGACAGCCACTGTGTTGTCCTTCATAGTGCATGTCAATGTATCAGACAGCCACTTTGTTGTCCTTCATAGTGCATGTCAATGTATCAGACAGCCACTTTGTTGTCCTTCATAGTGCATGTCAATGTATCAGACAGCCACTGTGTTGTCTTTCATAATGCATGTCATGATCACTGTGATGTCATTTCATAGTGCATCTCCTTGTGTTGTCCTTGAAAGTATATGTCACTGTGTCAGTGTGACCACTGTGTTGTCCTTCATAGTGCACGTCGCTGTGTTGTCCTTCAAAGCTAACGTCACTGTGTTAAGTACAGGCTGAAATTGATAGAGATGCATGGAAGATAACCGAAAAAAATGCCTTCAATTATGATAATTCTCGATATAATAATAACGTGTCATATATTCGATCTTTGTAATTCTCACACGGATTTTTCATTACCCCGCGATATGCCAAGGAGAGGCACGGGCCATCGAGCCATGGATGCCCGTGCCTATAATCAAAACACAAGATGAGATTGGGTTAAATAGCCGAGGGTGTGCTGGTACTAGTGGGCTACTTAGCTGCTAGTTGTGTATACCAAAATGCTACCGTTGCCATGGCCACTAGCGTGGCCAACGGCGATTCGCAGCTAGCGCTGCTGGCCTGAGACTGCTACCGCTGTCCGGCCCCAACGGTAGCATATTTAAACGCTACCATTGCTTGGCAACTACCACGCTGCCAAAAGCAACTACCACTGCTGGTCTAAGTCAGACTACCGCTGCCCAGCCCCAGGTAGCTAGCCAAAGCAGATCCCACTGCCTGGCCCCATTAGCAAAACCATTGTGCGACTACCGCCGCGGACCCAACTGTCAGCTACCGCTTGACAAGACGACTTCCGCCGCCGGGCCCATATACGTGGCAATTGTTTGCCCCAACGTATGTTATTTTACGATTTCCCGGCTGAAAAGTCGGGAAAGACAAGGTTCCCACTGAGAAGCAGGTAACCCAGGAAAGGTTCATGCTGAAAAGCAGGTAGCCTTAATCACGAGTATTAATTTGGAAGCAAGTTAATTTGTTACTAGCAGTGTAGCCCACAAGAACCCTGCCACAAAACACCAGAGTGGAGAATAGTTTTAGTGTCTGTGACTGTTTCAGATCTGTGGTTACTTAATGATTCATAGATAACTAGCATTTTCACTGTGACATACTTGGTCTTTGTAATTCTCACACGGATTTTTCAATAGTTCATGGTACAGAGACTTCAAAACTCTATAAATGCCTGAACAATATCTATCTGTAAACTCAGACAAGAAACATCGTAACATGATCATTAGATTGAGAGCGTGATTGTTAAAACTGAAGGTGACTGAGGCTAGATGGTTAGGAATAGAGTGATCACTACACACGTCCTGTATGTAACCTTGGTATAGAAGATGATAATCATTTTGTGTTTTAATATGTAACAAGTATGATGGCGGCGAAAAATATTACTCAGTGACAATGACCAGCCCTCAATACATTTCAAATGTTACTATCTGGAAATTGTGAAATATTGCTGAAGAAACTTTGTAAATTGTACCGAAAAGCTATGCCAAGAGACAGGTATTTATAAACGCAGGTTGACCATGATGAGTTGAAGTTTGCTGTATATATTCAAGACAGCTGACAGTGTGGACATTTCGTCTCTAGCCGGACAGCTGAAACTGTGGACATTTCGTCTCCAGCAAGACAGCTGAAACTGTGGACATTTCGTCTTCAGCAAGACAGCTGACACGCTGACACTGTAGACATTTCGTCTCCAGCAAGACAGCTGAAACTGTGGACATTTCGTCTCCAACAAGACAGCTGACACTGTAGACATTTCGTCTCCAGCAAGACAGCTGAAACTGTGGACATTTTGTTTTTTTTCTAAAAGTCAATGGACACATGGTTGTGATCTTTACACACACATACACATTTTCTTCTCTGAAAATCTGTTTAGGAACCTGCATTTTGTGAAAAAAGCCCCCAGACCATTGACTCTAAAATCGCTCCTAGAATTCTGATTGACTTTAAACCAGCCTGCCTATTACTAAGCCATTTGTGCATGTATCCCTCGGACCCTTATAAACTTAGTTCTGCCGGTGTGGCATGGACTTTTAGATGACGTGAATGTTAACGGTTCTAACATGTCTGATCTTTACAGTTTGTGGTTGTTCTGTGTCGTCTGAAGTATGCTACATGAAGGGGAACGGTTCTAACCAGGTGCAGATGGTGGTGTGTCCGTGGTCTTGCTGTGGTGTATCCCACAGATATTGCTGTGGAGACGGATCAGCTGAGAACGAGTGAGTTTTACGTTGGAGAATACATGTCCTCTCAATTCGATCACATAAAATACACCCAACCACGCAGACAGTGAATGGATTCGTTTGACACCGCTTTAAACAGAATGTCAGTTATATACCAACTTCATGTTGTCCCAGGCGGGTACCACAACGTGGACGGGTACACGACTCAAAGACTCAAACCATGGTGCATGTATAATTCGAACAAACGGTCTTCGGGTTCTGGCACGACTCAGGATCGGATGACCTGACCACGCTTCACGTACCACACAATGAACATCAACATGTCAAGAAAAGTTCCCACTACCCTTGTTTAAGTCCGTCCTATTGCTTGCACCCTGGTGTATTGTACGTACGTCATTGAAATAAAAACGGACGCGGAACAAATTTCTAAATCATATGACTCATTTACCTCAAAGTACAGGAAACCAGGGCACTGTCGCAAAAATATGCAAAGGATCTCATTCGTTTTGCTCTATTGTGTAAGCATTCAATACTTTGCTATCCAGTTACGTAATCATTTCTAATTTTGAACACCTCTCCCAGTGTGTATCCTATTACCCATTCCGTACACATGACCTCTCCCTGTGTGTATCCTATTCCCCATTCTGTAAGCATGACCTCTCCCTGTATCTATCCTATTACCCACTATGTACTCATGACCTCTCCCTGTGTGTAATCTATTACTCATTCAGTACACATGAACTCTCCATGTGTGTATCCCATTACCCATTCTGCACAGATGACCTCTCCCTGTGTGTATCCCATTACCCATTCTGTACACATGACCTCTCTGTGTGTCTATCCTATTACCCATTATGTACTCATGACCTCTCTGTGTGTCTATCCTATTACTCATTCTGTAACCTGACCTCTCCCTTTGTGTAACCTATTACTCATTCAGTACACATGAACTCTCCATGTGTGTATCCTATTACCCATTCCGTACACATGACCTCTCCCTGTGTGTAACCTATTACTAATTCAGTACCATGACCTCTCCCTCTGTGTATCCCATTACCCATTCTGTACGCATGACCTCTCCCTGTATCTATCCTATTACCCATTATATACTCATGACCTCTCCCTGTGTGTAACCTATTACTCATTCAGTACATATGACCTCTCCCTGTGTGTATCCCATTATCCATTCTGCACGCATGACCTCTTTGTGTGTCTATCCTATTACCAATTATCTACTCATGACCTCTCTGTGTGTCTATCCTATTACTCATTCTGTAACCTGACCTCTCCCTGTGTGTATCCAATTACCCATTCTGTACTCATGTCCTCTCTGTGTGTCTATCCTATTACCCATTATGTACTCATGACCTCTCTGTGTGTCTATCCTATTACTCATTCTGTAACCTGACCTCTCCCTGTGTGTATCCCATTACCCATTCTGTACTCATGACCTCACCATGTGTGTATCCCATTACTCATTTAGTTCACAGGACCTCTCTGTGTGTGTAACCTATTACTAGTTCAGTACACATTACCTCTCCCTGTGTATAACCTATTACTCATTCTGTAACCTGACCTCGTCCTCTGTGTATCCCATTACCCATTCTGTACGCATGACCTCTCCCTGTGTGTATACTATTATCCATTATGTACTCATGACCTCACTCTGTGTGTAACATATTACTCATTCAGTACACAAGACCTCTCCCTCTGTGTATCCCATTACTCATTAAGTACAAATGACCGCTCCCTGTGTTTTATCCCATTACCCATTATGTACTCCTGACCTCTCTCTGTGTGTAACATATAATCAATTCAGAACATGTGACCTCTCCTTGTGTGTAACCTATATTTCATTCAGTACACATGACCTCTCCCAGGGTGTATCCCATTACCCATTCTGTACGCATGACCTCTCTGTGTGTGTATCCTATTACCCATTATGTACTCATGACCTCTCCATGTGTGTATCCTATTACCCATTATGTACTCATGACCTCTCTCTGTCTGTATCCTACTACCAATTATGTACACCTGGCCTCTCCCTGTGTGTAACCTATTATTCACTCAGTACACATGGCCTCTACCATGGTGTATCAAAACACTCATTCTGTACACATGACCTCTTCCTGTGTGTATCATATTACTCATTCTGTACACATGACCTCTCCCCTTTGTGTAACCTTTTACTCATTCTGTACACATGACCTCTTCCTGTGTGTATCATATTACTCATTCTGTACACATGACCTCTCCCCTTGTGTATCATATTACTCATTCTGTACACATGACCTCTTCCTGTGTGTATCATATTACTCATTCTGTACACATGACCTCTTCCTGTGTGTATCATATTACTCATTCTGTACACATGACCTCTTCCTGTGTGTATCATATTACTCATTCTGTACACATGACCTCTTCCTGTGTGTATCATATTACTCATTCTGTACACATGACCTTTCCCAGTGTGCATTCACTCACTCATTCTGTACACATGACCTCTTCCTGTGTGTATCATATTACTCATTCTGTACACATGACCTCTCCCAGTGTGCATTCAATCACTCATTCTGTACACATGACCTCTCCCTGTGTGTATCATATTACTCATTCTGTACACATGACCTCTTCCTGTGTGTATCATATTACTCATTCTGTACACATGACCTCTTCCTGTGTGTATCACATTACTCATTCTGTACACATGACCTCTCCCAGTGTATATTCAATCACTCATTCTGTACACATGACCTCTCCCTGTGTGTAACCTTTTACTCATTCTGTACACATGACCTCTCCCAGTGTGTAACCTTTTACTCATTCTGTACACATGACCTCTCCCAGTGTGCATTCAATCACTCATTCCGTAACCTGACCTCTACCTCTGTGTAACCTAACGCTCATTCTGCAGTCATGACCTCACCCTGTGTGTATCACAATACCCATTCTGTACACATGACCTCTCTCTGTGTGTATCCTACTACCAATTATGTACACCTGGCCTCTCCCTGTGTGTAACCTATTATTCACTCAGTACACATGGCCTCTACCATGGTGTATCAAAACACTCATTCTGTACACATGACCTCTTCCTGTGTGTATCATATTACTCATTCTGTACACATGACCTCTCTCTGTGTGTATCCTACTACCAATTATGTACACCTGGCCTCTCCCTGTGTGTAACCTATTATTCACTCAGTACACATGGCCTCTACCATGGTGTATCAAAACACTCATTCTGTACACATTACCTCTCCATGTGAAACATATTACTCATTCAGTACACATGACCTCTCCCTCTGTGTATCCCATTACCCATTATGTACTCATGACCTCTCTCTGTGTGTAACATATAACCAATTCAGTAGATAATACCTCTTCTTGTGTGTAACCTATTACTCATTCAGTACACATGGCCTCTCCAAGGGTGTAACCTATTACTCGTTCAGTACACATTACCTCTCCCTGTGTGTAACCTATTACTAATTCTGTACACCTGACCTCTTCCTCTGTGTATCCCATTACCCATTCTGTACGCATGACCTCTCCCTGTGTGTATCCCACTACCCATCATGTACTCATGACCTATCCCTCTGTGTATCTCATTACTCATTCATTACAAATGACCGCTCCCTGTGTGTATCCCATTACCCATTATGTACTCATGACCTCTCTCTGTGTGTAACATATAACCAATTCAGTACTTATGACCTCTCCTTGTGTGTAACCTATTATTCATTCAGTACACATAGCCTCTCCCAGGTTGTATCCCATTACCCATTCTGTACGCATGACCTTTCTGTGTGTGTATCCCATTGCTCATTCTGTACTCATGACCTCTCTCTGTGTGTATCCCATTGCTCATTCTGTACTCATGACCTCTCTCTGTGTGTATCCCATTACCCATTCTGTACTCAAGACCTCTCTCTGTGTGTATCCCATTGCTCATTATGTACACATGACCTCTCTCTGTGTCTATTCCATTGCTCATTCTGTACTCATGACCACTCCCCGTGTGTATCCCATTGCTCATTCTATACTCATGACCTCTCCCTGTGTCAATCCCATTGCTCATTCCGTACACATGACCTCTCCCTGTGTCTATCCCATTACCCATTCTGTACACGTGAGTTCTCTGTGTGTCTATCCTATTACCCATTATGTACTAATGACCTCTCTGTGTGTCTATCCTATTGCTCATTCTGTACTCATGACCTCTCTCTGTGTGTATCCCATAACCCATTCTGTACGAATAACCTCTCTCTGCGTGTATCCCATTACTCATTCAGTACAAATGACCCCTCCATGTATGTATACCATTACCCATTATGTACTCATGACCTCTCTGTGTGTGTAACATATAACCAATTCAGTAATATGACCTCTCCCTGTGTATAACCTATTACTCATTCAGTACACATTACCTCTCCATGTGAAACATATTACTCATTCAGTACACATGACCTCTCCCTCTGTGTATCCCATTACCCATTATGTACTCATGACCTCTCTCTGTGTGTAACATATAACCAATTCAGTAGATAATACCTCTTCTTGTGTGTAACCTATTACTCATTCAGTACACATGGCCTCTCCAAGGGTGTATCCTAATACCCATTCTGTACGCATGACCTCTGTGTGTGTGTATCCTAATACCCATTATGTACTCATGACCTCTCTCTCTGCGTATCCTATTACCAATCATGTACACATGGCCTCTTCCTTTGTGTAACCTATTACTCGTTCAGTACACATTACCTGTCCCTGTCTGTAACCTATTACTAATTCTGTACACCTGACCTCTTCCTCTGTGTATCCCATTACCCATTCTGTACGCATGACCTCTCCCTGTGTGTATCCCACTATCGATTATGTACTCATGACCTATCCCTCTGTGTATCTCATTACTCGTTCATTACAAATGACCGCTCCCTCTGTGTATCCCATTACCCATTATGTACTCATGACCTCTCTCTGTGTGTAACATATAACCAATTCAGTACTTATGACCTCTCCTTGTGTGTAACCTA